AGTTGCAGTTAGGATTTTGATCAGTGTGTTCTCTATTTGGAATGGTCAAGCTTGCCACTTTTAGTATTATTAAATCTCAGTTTATGGGTGTTGTCGTTATACTACAAGTCATCTCCATTTCTAAGAACTTTCTAAAATTTTGAAGTCCTCAAGAGTATTTAAAAAATAAATAAAAATTGCAGTCCAGGGTAGTTTTTTTTTTATTTATTTTTCCTGCAGAACAAGAGTAATGGAAAAGAAGGTAGTAATGTAAAACTATTTAAATCTTTTCCTGCCTTATTCACTCCCACAGTTGCTCTTCATTTTGTATGAGCCCTTTCCATCCAAATGAATTACATATGATAATTTTGGGCGTTATAATAAACAGACAGGCATCATAATAATGTATTTCCGTTAGGAAGAGGTACTTGGAAGAAATTGGTTTTGCAATACACATGATGTGAGACAATCAATAGTGCTTTAGTCTGACAAGCACTGTCAATATCCATTGTCACAGTTCAGAAAGTCATTAATGGATAGTTCTTCAAGAACCAATGCTTTCAACATGTTAGAAGTGTTCAGATATACTGTACCTGGCAGGAATTAATCATAGGTAAACCCTTGGGATTGGGTATAAATGTTTTGTAAATTAAGAGTGAAATAAAAGTCACTGGAAGGAATGTGAGATCGTGTTATATGGAGTTACAAAATCTTGCCAGTAAAATATGGAGCTGTTTAGAACATATTAAAACATTTTACTTTCTGAATCACTCAGGCTCTGCCCAGAACATCACACTGAGGAAAAACAGTATGCTAGAATTATATTGTCTAGGTACATGATTAAATTCACAGAAAGCAATCACGTAAAAATTTTGATCCTTGCCCTGAAAAGGTTAGAGCCTTGCCTGGTTCTTTTAGTTGTGGCCACGTAAAAACCCTGGAGAAAGGCTTTTGTAACTTCACCTTGCAAATACGCTAGCCACTGCTTAACATTGCTTAAATTTTAATTATGTTTAGTCTCATTACATCATATATACAGTTTAGTGCATTAAATTATAGCAAATAATTCTTCATCTGTACAACTCAAAACTTCCACTAGCTCTGCTGGTGCTATTTCTGCAGAACTGTGTGATATGGAGTTACCGCATTAATTCTTTCCTTCCACCTGTCTTCTTGGGCAGAAACTCTTGTACAGACTTTATTTTGTGGTTTTACATGATATTCCTGTTACTTATATATTATTAGGAATATTAAGGCTGAAGTTGGGGCACTGAATAAGTATTCAGAGGATTTATAGAGGTCCAGAAAAATGAAAGTCAATTTTTTCTTGGTGCTTTTTTTTTTTTTTTCTTTCCTAGAAAATTTAACCTATAGGTATCCTTCCTAATTCAGTTGATGTTATTTCAGTGTTATGCAACATTAAGGGCCAAAAGTGTGTTATTTCTTTTGTGCCTAACGACGTGCTTATACAATTTTCTTTTTGCACCCAATATGTATTACACTTCTTTGATGTGATAAGCTGTTGTGGTTTAATATATCAATTCTAGAGCAATTTGTCTGATGAAAAGATTGTTCAATTTATTATTTTTTTTTTAATTTATCTCTTCATACCTTTCTGACTTGTGGAAAAAATAGAGACTTAATAAAGTTGATCAAAGTAATCAGAAATGTTTTGCTGAGATCTCAGGGTCCAACTTTATTTCTGGCCAAATGTGAAAGTCAGTCAGTATTCATGTTACATTTTTGCTGCTGGATTGAAGTGTCCTTGCACCCACTTGCACTAGCAGAAGAAATTTAGCATAATATTGGATTCGGTGGGCTTCCCCTCTGCATATACTCTAAAAGGCCTTGGCCCAACAAGACCAGGCATAGGTTTCTTTTTTCTGTCTCAGAAGCTCTTAGCGCAACATAAGGAATAATTAATTGAAAAGTCTGTGCAAAGGGAGGGGAATTATCCTGTGTTGGTTTTGAAGCATTTCTGTGGATATGTCACTGTGAGTACCTTCAGAAACAGGATCTGAGTTTACTCAGTACAACGAATCCAAGGCACACCTGTACATTTTATGCCAGGGAGCATACAGTAGAACAAGCAGTAGATTTTATTTCCTATTATTTTATTCTTAGGTCCTTAAGTGTCCTATTTTACTTCTATATGGAACTGCTTTCCATTTTTTTTTATGTTTGATGTTTGGCAGCTCTCTTTCTTGAAGTATTCTTCTGGTCAAATCCAGAACCTGAAATTTAAAAACTCCAAAAAGTATTTATTGTGGTTTTTTAAGTTTTAGAACTACTCTTTTTTTTTTTTTTTCTCTCAGAAGCAACATTTGGTCCTCTTTGTATTTCCAAATATAATAGCAAAGTCATTTTAATATGGGTATATCGCGAGAAGAATGGTTTGGAAATAGAAAGAATATTTCTAAATGATATCTCAACAAGGATATTTCTGGCTAAGCTTGGTTTTGGAACATGCTATCAAAACCCTTGAATTTCTGGGAGACTTGGAGTTTCCCTCTGGTGACTCACACATATTTAATAGAATAGAATAAGAAAATAATCAAAATTAGCTTTGCTGCTGTTTTTAACTCTGTGCAATACAACTCAACATAGGACATGCAAAAGTATCCATGACAATAATTATTCCTACCTCTAGATGTAGTTTTAACACCATAATAACTGTTTCAGGTATAAAACTTCCAGCTGGGTTAATGCATCTTTCTAAACAGAGGGATCTTTACCCTGCTGACAGTCCCCTATCCTACTGTCCACAGTATAACCACGTTCACCTCAGTTAGAACATCTTCACAAATCTGGTGTATGCTCAAAGCGTGTAGTTCAAGTGAACATAAAAGTCTTCAGAGTCCCACAGAAGGGGAAATGTGGCAGGCATCTTAAGTGACTTAAGAGACGTTTTCACTCCTGCATCATTTAAATTGGGGGAGCTTCACTGTAAGCAGGAAAAAGAAAACCTAAATATGAATTGCTACGTACAGAATGACCCCAAGCAACAAGAGTCCCTAAACTAAATACAATTCACTTCACTGTTTCGAAGTACCATTAAGATGCAGAATTAGAAACATCCATTTGTTGTTCTTTTTATAGCACAGCCAAGTGACTTGGAATTTTAGCTTGTCCCTGCCAAGGATTGCTCAATTTCGAACAAAAAGTCCTCCACTATAATGTTAAAAAAGCACCAGCCATCAATTGAATGCTAATCTTTATATTCTATGATACATCACTCCAAGAATGCTACCATTAAAAAATGTGAATTCTATTTTTCATAAGTGATGGATTATTGTACCAAGCTGTGTATTTTCCAGTAAAGTGTCCTTTTATTTGTCCTGTGTGATTACTAGTTTGTGGAAGTATGTGTGGGGTCATTTTAGTGCTGTGGGAAAATGGAGCACTCTTCTGTTAAAATCAGTAGTGAAATCAGAAGCAAACTATGCTCTGATCATCATAAGCATGTGTTTAAATATTGCTTTCCTTAATTGGCTATGTTCTATTTACTTAAAATGAACAATTTGGCAAGTTTTTCTCCCTTGACAACAGCAAAGCATAAACCATTTTATAAGTTTGGCTGTTAAAATCAGATTTGTAATGTAAACCACAATATTCCAGGGTTGTTACTGTTGCTTAACCAGTTATTTTCGCCTGCCATTGTTTTGTAATTGAGCACCTTTGAACATTCTGTTTCTGTTTAAAACTTATGCAAAACTTTTTCTTACAAAATAGTCTGATAATATTGATCACAATTTTATTTTTTCCTCTCTCTTTTCCTTTGGATCCTGCGTTATAGATGAGATTAGGGAGCATCTCTGTAACCAGAGCTAAATTATCGGGGGCACTATTTAGAAATTCTGTTTAAGGGACAGTGGGCCAACTCCTGTGAGTTCAACTTATGGAGAACACTGTGTTTTAGTGGATGGATGGATGGATGGATGGATGGATGGATGGATGGATGGATGGATGAATTGATTGATTGATTGATTGATTGATTGATTGTTTTTCAAGGGAAGATAGAAAGCTGTTCTTTCCTCTGAAAGCAGAAGTCACCCCTCTCAGCTGGAGCTCCTTGCCAGGGAAGGCTGAAGAGCTCTGGCTGCCCATTACCCTGCTCAGCATTTGGAGTAATGGGCAGGGTGAGAGAGCCCAGGATGCAGGACAAAGGTTATTCAAGGCTGGTGAGGCTCGGGTGATTTGTTAGAAAACTTTAAAACTCTTCTTGTTCAGGGAAACCTTTGGAGATGATCTTCCCATGGCATTGCTGCTGCTTCTGGAGCATGCTGAGTTTATCCTTCCTATGAATAGTGCTTATTTTGATAGTTATGATGGTGCCCTGTAAGCACCTCAGCAGAGAAAAAGTTACATTTATGCCTTTGAAACTTCCTCCAGGGGATTTTTTGCATCTGGGTTCTATGTCTTTTTGACACAGAGCAGGAATAAATTGAGCTCAAAATGTTTTTCAGTTTGGTAAATGCCTAAATATAATAAAATATAATCATTAGGACGGGAATACTTTTCTTTCCATAAATTAATGCATCTTGCACAGATTTTGTGGCATATAGCCATGTTTTCTATAACTGCATTAAATATATATATAACGCTTAATCCATCTTGGCAAGAGAATTCAGTCCTTCGCTAGTGGTGTAACCATCCATCCTTTCTCATAACAAGTAGTATATAGCTAATAGCGCATAGCACGCTTTAAGTCCAGAGTTTTAGTTGAAAAATCATCCATGTGAAACTTGTGGGATTCATGAGCATTTCATGAGTAAACTGGTCGCCATCCAAATACTTATGGGCAATAAATAATACAACTCTGTGAATAACCGGCAGAGTGAACTCATCATGTTTATTCACAAAAGTATTAATCAGATGTTTTGTCCTATCCAACCAGCTACACTGCTGACCTACCGCAGGATTTTAGTAGGGTGGCTATGCATATCACTTTATATTTGGGAAAACTACTATTAGTTGAAAAATGTTGTTTCACTGAAGCTTTTTCTTTTGATTTCTTTTAGTTTTCAGACTGAACTACAGTGCTTCTGACACAAATGACAGAAACCGAGTTAAAAGCAGATTAAAGAAGTTCATCTCCCGAAGACCCTCCTTGAAAACATTGCAGGAAAAGGGACTTATTAAAGGTGTGTTTGGTCTTATATGCTTTTTTCGAGTAACATGTAAAAATTCACAAATTAATTTTTCATTCTCAGTTAAACGAACAAGTACATTTGACAACTACTTCTCTGATATGTTTTTGCGGCTGTGTCTCACAGAACTTACACTGCTGAACTGTAAAGAAAAAAAAATCAGCTTATATCTATCTCTGTGTTAACTACTGCCTCAGTTTTTCTGCTTTGGTGTACAGGTGGTAGAAGCCCCTCCACCTAACACAGGCACCCACCATGCACATTGCAAATCAATGAGCTGCACAGCTCCATTTCTTTTTAAGAAACTCATGTTGGTGTAGTTTTACATTTTAGAATCTGAAGTAGGAACTTCAGATGCTGTGCCGACTAATTTGTGTTCTAGGATAGGCTGGAATACTTTCTGCTGTCTTCTCTCATTATTTTTCTAACTCGCTAACAAAATATATTTTTAACAATTTAAAATACGTGACAGTGAATAATAAAGGCTTGAATAGGTGATTTTTTTTTTTTTACCTTGCTCCAGTTTTTTGTTGTTGGTCAGCCATTGCTTTGACATATCCTTAAAAAATGGTTTCTTTGATAAAACATGTTTGTTAGTCTATCCAAAGAGTAAGCATTTTGCTAAGGAGCTGGGAGTTAACTTGAAGGCAGTAGCATTCTGACCACTAATAATCAAGCAAAGCCATGTTTTCAAATATTGTCTGGAATAATGCTTTAAAAATTTACGCACTCCCAAATTATTATGTGTGAAACCCACAACTGCACATGCAAATTGACTAGAAAGAGGCATTTTGCCAACAGCCCCTGTCAATCTCTGGAGTGTGAGTATTCCAGTGGTGTGTCAAAAATGGCAAGGGGTGTTGCTAGTGTGTATTAAAGTTGTCTGTCCTGAGCCAAGAGATTGACCCCAGCCAGCAAAAGCTAAAGCAGCCACAAGAGTTAAGCACCAGCTGGGCCCATGTCTGAAGAGAAGGAGAAGATTTTATGAATTAAGTTCTTACGTTTTAGATACATGCAGAAAAGTTCGGTGCAACGTTGTTTACTGTATGGAAGTCTTCATTATATGAAATTATTATGTGCTTTGGTGATGGGCTTTTGCTTCTAACTGTCATAGAACTTTTAAAAAAAAATAGCAATTTATAAATGTGTGTGTGTGTGTGTGAGGTGTGCACACTCACACCCCAAACTGTCAGGATCTATCCTTACACGTTCATAGTATCTGATTTCAATACATTCGAGGGTTTTGCCTCTTTGAAGTACTCTGTGGGTTGAGGGTGGGATTTGAAGGCATCATATTCGTTTGTTTCACTTATTACAGTAATAGAATAGTAATTTATAGTCTTTTAATTTCTGGATTTAAGGGGTGGGGTTTTTTTTAGTTTAATAAAGTGTGGCTGATGTATCTCCTGTGGCGTTACATAGGGATCAGATGTGATCCCTGCTAACAAATCCTGATTCATTAGCATAACTCAAATCCACCCTCTAATGTATCGCTCTAGGAAAGCCAGATGAATTTGGGCTTGGCTAGAGTTGTATTAAGCTCTTGATTCATAAACATAGCTTGGTTCTACCTGGGGTAGTCTTCCACGACTAACGAAGATGCATGATTTGTGACCCAGTCATTTGGAATTGGTACCCAGCACAGTTTTACTACTGAAATAATGTTACCACGAAGAAAACATGTTAGTTATCTACCATGAAGTTGCATTAGGATTAGGTTTTGGCCATGCAAATGAGGCAGGATTCGTTAGCACGGCTTAATTCCAATCTACGGTAAGTCTATGTGAAATGCTCATTTGATAAGGTTCCTTCATTGTCTTCACCAGAGTTTATCCCTTAATCTGTTAAAGTGTTATGAAAATGCAGTTGCAGTGCTTATAGAGAGACCACTTTTAAATGTTAATTTTTAGGCTCCCATTAGAATATTTTTAAATCACAAAATGCAACCACCCAGATTAAAAGTGAAAAGCTTGCCAAGTTTTGTATTGTAAGATGCATCTATTTATTTTTCTAAAGGTGACTTAAATGGTTGCAAAAACCTCTCAAAACTATTTATTTGCTCGTTTCTTAAGGGAAAAAATGTTAACCGATTTTTACAAGAAAAAAATTCCTCCAGCTCTGAGAACACGCATACTAACTTTTATCCCATAGGGAAATACTTCTGTCAGAATTGTAAATCCCTTAAAATAGGGGCTCGTAATAAAAGTGTGTCTAAAGCCTTGCAGGACATCTTGGTACTGAATTTCTGACAAAGAGCTGTTCTGTGTGCTAGTGAAGAATTGATATAAATATCTGTGAAGCGTGTGGTGTTAATTACTCCAATGCAGTGGCACTGTAGGTGCTGTGAAAACCTTCACTTTTCATCAAGTGCTATTCATATTTGCCAGGGGCACTATAAAGCTCTCAAATCTATATTGATTTTTTACATTGTATGTCACATTGGAACCAAAACTCCAATAAATTTAACACGTAAATTATAGTCATGAGTAAATACATTTTAAGGTGGTAAGTTCACTTAAACACAGTTCTGTGCTCTGTTAGTCACTGATGTGTACACTCTTAGCCAGAAGACTCAACACGTTTCTCCGCATTAACCAAATTTGGGAATACAGGCTTCAGAATTAAATAGCAGTTTGATCTCCTGGGGTACTTTGTTCTGCCAACACTGTTATCAGAAAAATCTAGAAATTATGTGATTGTCATTTAACTCTTAACAAAACTTTGTTTCTGTAGAATGTAGCAAATATCCATGTAGTAAAGAGAAGAATAAGAAGTAGGAGGATGATAGTCAGGCAAGGGAATGTAGCAGACCAACATGTAAATGGGAGTTGCGTGTTGATCTGAAAATGAAGGCGCGCTGACACTTTACATGACAAAAAGTTATTTTTGTCATCACTGTCCCATTTGCTTTCTAGTCCTTTGCGTAAAAGAAGCCAGAATGGGAACAGCACGTTGGCTCCATTCATTGCAATGGGCTTTTCATGCTTCAGTGAGAGATCTAATGAAGATCATCAGTCTGCCTTGTTCCACCTCACTCGTGCTTACACAAAATATCTTTGGTCTAGAAACATTCTGAGCCGTTTTTGAGATGATGTGTAACACAGTATTTTTGTGCAATGTGTATGCACACTTATGTTCATATATATCCACACTTGGATGCAGAGCTAGATATACTAAATAAGAGGCGTGTTCCGTGTCTGCCATTTTACAGTGTTATTTTGAGAATAACTGCGTTCAAATTTATATGCTAGGGCAGGGGTCCTCAGTTCCTCGGGACTGAAATATTCTCAGAATTTACAGAATCTGCACTAATATGCTAGAAAAATAATATATAAATCTTCTCTTTTAAAACGACTTTATAGTCTATAATTGAACTTTGATCTTTATGTTTGAGCTTTGTCATGATTTAATATAACCCAAAATGAATTGCCAACCTTCAACTTGATATTGGCCTGCTAACTTCCTGATTTCTGAGCCTTTCTAGTCCACAAAAAAAAAAAAAAGTGCTTCTGTGAAACTGTGATTTTAAAGCTATAGTGGCTGTGTTGGTAATAGACTATCACAAAATACACTTTCAGTAAATGGTAAAAAAAAAACATGAATAACAACATAAATGGCACTGTGGGAAATGAAGAAAACTGGCAATAAATTAATCTAGGGTTTTTTTGGGGTGGCTTTTTTTTTTTTTTTCCCCAAAAGCTAGATACCGAAGGAACTTCCCTGAATTTATTTCCTAAGTTAAGGCAAAAACCAAAACAGCATAAAAATTGGAATGGTTACAAGTGTTTCAAGATGAAAATAAAAGCCACTCAATTGCTAGTGAAAGGAACTAGCTGTGATTTGGCTTGATAGCCTATAGAACAGGGCTCAGCATATGTTGGTGGTTGTGCAGATAGCAGCACAGAGATCACCAACCATTTTATTTCCAGACAAGGGAAAGCATCTTTACTGCTTCATACATCTCAGTGGACCCTGGGGTAGTTCAATGTAGTAAGTGTAATGCTCATGAGAAGTCCAAAAGAGTAGATTAAGACCTACCTTTGGTGTGTTCTTCTGGGATATACAGGGATTTATTGAGTGATCTGGTGCCCATAATAAGTTAGAGAAAGTTAGGAAATGTTGTCTTTGACTTACAGGGTCAGTGGGTCACAGGGGTATTTCTTACTTTCCTTGACCACTATATGGACATTAGGAAGTACTGTTTCCCAAACCCTGTGGATGACTAAACACTGGACAAATTGATTTTTTTTTCCTTTGACCTGGTGGTCAGAAATAATTCAGATAATTTTGAAATATCTAATTTTTGGAGACTTGTTTTGAGGAGTACGGCAGACTCACTGTCTTTAAATTCAAATGAGCTCTTGTCCCCAGTAAAACACCATAATTTCTTAAAAGAGACTAGTGTCTGCAGTACTCTCTATTTTCCCCTTTCCTGAGAATGTGAAACAAAATCTGGCAGTTCATATGCCACTTAATAGTAACTGTTCACAAATGTAATTTTTTTTTTTTAAATTGATGACCATCACAGATCAACGATATATAGTAAATCTCCAAGTTAAAAGGACTGGCAAGATTCCCAGCTGACATAAATCAGGGGAGCTCCATTGACAACCTCACTGACTTCAGTCAGCTGAGGACCTGGTCCACTTATTGTAAAAGCGTCGTGGCATTATTTGGAGCCTCTGTCTGGGCTCAGCGTTATTTTAATGTCTGACTTAATATGTCTGACTCTACGTATTGAGTAGCCAGAAGTCACCTTTCAGAATATGGCCCTTTCCAACTGCATCCCTTCCCGTTCAAAAAAAAAAAAAATCACTACTGTGGTAACTCTGTACTTCTGTCTCTCTGTACATTCCTCTCTTAGTTTGCCTTTTCATTCTCTTTCCCCCTTTTCTCTCCCAACATTCAAACAGATGCAAAGGAAACAAACAACTTAGATGTTGATACAAATCTCTGTTAGTCCGGCAGTGTCCAGCAGTTCAAATCCAGATGTAGCAGAGTTAACTTTGTTCCTGGAAGGCACTGAATTACATAGATATAATTTGTATTTCTAAAAACTTGGCCATTACACCATTATATGTTCTCCTCTCATGTCAGAACTTGAGCTTCTCCCCGAGAAATGGGAATATTAGCCATGCCCTTCCCTGTATTTTTTTTAATAAAAAACACTGAAGTATGATTTCCTTCCAAGTGTGGCCACATCTCATCCATGTACACCAAGAACAGTTAAACAATGACATTCTCAGTGAGGATGTGGCTTTAGTGATTTTGTTTTAATTGTTTCTTTTCCAGAAGTATTGTCTCCCATAGACTAGATTTCTGCAGCTCAGAATTAGTGGCTTTGCTGCAGCCTGTGAGAGCTACTCAAAAAAAAGTAGCTCTGTCAGGCTCAGGGAAAACTTGAAGCTCCCCAGAACGAGCAATTCATTGCAGCTGTAATCATCATTTTATATTATACAACTTGCAAATGTCCATCCCCTCCTCTTCTGGTGTCTCATTTTATATCCATGTGCAAAGCTGTCACACATCCCACCATCTTCAATAGAAAGTTTAATGTGTGGATATCAGGGATGTGTAATGTAAACCATACCCCCAAACATATTATGAATATATTGCTCTTCTTAAAAATGCTTGTTGGTTTTTCATACTACAGTATTGACTAACTGTCTGTGTTTGATGTATGGTTTACCAGCCTGATGTAGACTTATGGTTAGAGCTTAACTTGTTAGTTCTGCTTTTGCAGCCAATTCAGAATAACTACAGATGCCCCAAGATATTAAAATTGACTGCTCAAATGGACTCAGTGTGGGAGTTTCATTGGTTTTAAATTGATAACAGCTGAAAGAGTGAATGATTAAAGCTGTATATGGGCATAGTATGCAGCTCCTTTGTACAAGCTCTTGTGAACAGAATCCACTGTATGGGAATTGCCTTTGTTCTAATAAAAGATATTTCTGAACAATTGTTAGTTTAAATTTTTAAATGATGAAACAAGAGCATTTCAGGAGCCTATAGAGGAAATAATTCCTGAGAAACTGGAATAACTCTGAGAAGATAAAGTGGTTTTCTATTCAGAGGGGAGCATTTAAAGTTAAGTAGCATTCCATAAGGTGGTAATTGTGTCTATTTCCCAGGCATTTGAGTTAAATAAGCTGGATAGGAAACATAAACTGTCATAACAGGAGGTTAGGAGTGTTGTGTACATCTTTTTTTCTTCAAGTCATAAAAAATGAAGTTTTGAAGGGCCTTATCACAAATAAATCAAACAAAGGCTTTTTTTGCTTCTTTTATCCCTTTGGGAGCAGTTCTTATTTACTGCAAAAATTTCCTGGACAGTTTCCCCTTAAACTGCTTTTAAAAAAAAAAAATAAAATATATATATATATATATATATATATATATATACACACACACTTATACACACCTATAAAAGAATAAGAAAATAGTATTTTAATCTTAGCTACACCTAAATGTAGTTTACAAAAGTTAGTACCTTGCCATTCTTATAATTTCTTGTTTTAAAAGTACTGCACAAATAAATTTTATCTGAGTTTTCCTCAACTATTCCTGTGGCCTATAAGAGTGTAAATATGGCAGTGTAACTACTGCCATTCCCATGTTTATGTACAGAAACCGATCCAGCAAAAAAAATCAATTGACTAGAGAGAGTCACGGAGTTTGCGGTTCAGGATTACCCAGAATTCAGAGTATTTGGATGACTCATGAGATCAGGTACTTACAAATACTCATGACTTTCTAGAAGGGGGAAAAAAAAAAAAAAAAAAAAAAAAAAAAGCAATCCAGAGAAGTTGTGTGCTGTTTTACTACAATCTCTTTTGATACCCTGCTACTATTAATATTGATTTGCTGCCCCTTCCGCTCAAGACAACAATCCTGAGTGCTCGTTTTCTAAAGAAGAGGTGTTTTGAAGCTTAACTGCAGGATATAGAATGCGGTTATATCCATATACTGAAAGGTACATAAAATGAGGTTAAACATTTTGCCAGAGAAGGTGCAGAATCTGCATCCAGCAAAGAAATAATGGACTAGGTGAGACCTGCGTAACAATTTCCAGCCTTTTAAAATTTTCCTCCCCGGGACACCAAGTATTTTGCATTCATACTGGGGACTGAAAGAGTAACTGCAAAATAATCCTGGAAGTCGGTTATAAAGTGGTTATAGTAGAGAATAGAAGCGGTTGAACGTTCATGAATTAATTTTGTTTCTGTTCTTCATGTATTGCCATCTAAACACAGTGCCGTTCTTTGCCTGGTTTACTTCTGAAATTGTTTACAAGTGTCTTTGTCCACCAAATAAGAGACATTTTTACTTTTTTTTTTTAATTTTATTTTTTAATATTTTACATTGGAGACCATTTCATATTATGCAAAGAATTTGACAGGTCTTTGCTAAAATTTTTAAAAAAACAATTAAGATGTCAAAAGAGGAAGTGCTAGTACATTTTAATCATAAATCTCTGTATATATAATTACCACTGAAGGCAGCTATAAATGTTTTATGAAGAAAATGTAACCAGACTGTGCTTTGTCAGAAACATAACCCCAAAACATGTAACAGACTGTTCGCTAATGCTTAACGCCACACATGCACACAACCTTCCTCAGTGCAGTTCTGTGAACCCAGTCCTCCATCCCTTCTGCAGCCGAAACTCCGACTAACTTAAATTCAGGCTTTGATGTACTCTACCAGAATGCAGATCACATGCATTGGGAGATGCTGGAATAAACTTCCCTGACACACATCGAGAAGTCCAAACCATCCCATGCACCCCAAGTTGCTTCCCTGATTGTTCCCTACTCTGGGGTATTAGGAAAGAAAAGGCAATCAAGTTGCTCTTGAAATCTTAGCTTCGTAAGAAATAGTAGTGATTAATGACAGAGAAACAACGCTCCTTGTAAAGCAGAAAATAAACAAATGGGGTTTTCCCATGTTAGTGACAAAAAGGTGTGCTGCTCGGAGGGAGAAACGCTCAGACTAATTATGGTAGAATACCCATATTAATACCCAGTTAAGCTTCAAAACATCTCTTTAGAAAACAGGCACTCAGGATTGTCGTCTTGAATGGAAGGGGCAGCAAATCAATATGGAAATACCCCGTGCCCTGGGAGCTGCAGGGGACAGCAGGAGCTCCTGCTGTTCTACAAGTGAGCGTCCTTGTTGGGTTTGCTGTGCAGGGCCCAGCCTTGTGCTACTAGCTTTCAGCTATCTATAAAAACATTTTCAAAGCCTCCACGCCAATTTCCAAAGTGTAGTACTCCGTTGAAATGCTATATGGAGACTGTCTCTTTGCATAAATGATGATAGTACACTCCTATTGTTTGAGCATTTAACTGGCTCCTATTGAGTAGTTTCTCTCATCTCTTTGATTCATTTTGATTCTAACTGACAATGTCCCCCATTACTGATTGCTCTTTTCATAATTTCTCAAACATATAGAGTAGAAATGAGGTGCAGGGAGCTAATTAGTAATCTGAAGAGTTCAACCTTATACAAATATATTTTAAGATCAACATTTAAAGTTGATCAAAACTTTAAAACCATAAAAATTGAAAGGTAGCATTATCTAATTAAATGATTATTCATCAAAGAAACAATACAGATCACAAGTTACACTGAGTGTAAGATTCATTCCTCATCAAAAGATATCTAGTATCTTCTATTTTTTAAACAGGTAATTTGATGATTAAAAAAAACACAAAACGCTCTTGTAAAGATGAGATGACATTGTACTAAGGCCTAATGATGCAAAGAATGAAATTCTTCTTGCCTGGAGAAGACAGCCTACCCAACAGTCTGAGTTTCAGGGTTGGAACAACAATTAGTATCATGTAGAACTTTGGATTTAACAAGATATGGAGCTGTATCTCTAGAATGGCCTTTGCGTTTTTATGACAGGTCCAAGAAAACTTCAGAGACCTTCAAGCCTCAGAAAGGTCAAAGTCAAGGTGTAAATAGCAATTGAAACTTGAACCCAGGGGGAAGTATCCCAGTGCTATGGGTGGCAGATACTGAGAGATTTGGTTGTGTGGCAGAAGCTAATGACCACCAGGAATCAAAACGGATTTGTTTCCGACTTTGTCCATCATCAGTAGTTGAGTTTTTAATTAATATGCAAGCTCAGAAGAGAAAAAAAGTCCCACTACTAATAATATGCCTTAATGTATCTTCCTCTTTTTTTTTTTTTTTTTTTTTTTTGGCTCCCATTTGCACTTGGTTTGTGAGCATGAGAAATCTACAGTCCCACAGTTTGTAAGACTGTGTATAAAAGCTGTTGAAAAAAGAGGTGAGTTCCTTAACATTTAACTCTATTTTTTTTTTATGATTTTAGTAACCAAAACTTTAACCTTGTAACTCTGCTTGAATTGCCAAGATAGTTTAATTTATAATATAGTTATGAGCTGAACTATATCACATTCTGTATCTTCATTTTCTTTATATGATAAGACACTAATAGAACCCACTCATGCTGATTATTCCTTATATTTTGTTTGACATGTTGTTGTTTTAATCTTTCTCTGGGTAGGCAAATGCTAAATATCAATAAAATGTCAGTAACTTTCATTCTGAAGTCTCTGGTGAGTGTAATGCCAATACATTTTCCTAAGTCCTGAATTGCATTCAACCAAAATAAATATTCTTCTAGCGTGACCATATTATTTTAATGTGTGCAGGTGTCTAATTTTTACAGTTATTTTTAAAAGCCATAATATTGTAAGAATATTGGAATGAGTATTCATCCTCATTAAAAGTTTTGATTAATGAGAAGGATTTTCATACTATAAAAAAGATGTACTTAACACCGTTGCCTGCCTTCCTTTCTGCAGAGTGTATCTTCTCTCATTGAAGGTCATTTTCTTTGGAAGGTACATGCGGTAGATGCAGAATCTTAAAATGTATTGTATAAAAATGTGAGGCTTCATCACCATCTGTTACAAGTTTACAACTTGTTCCAGGGATCTGGGGAAACATATATCTTGCAAAAGATAGAAAATTTATTTTCAGAATAAGGCTGGGTGAACCCATTGTCACTGCCATATACTGGAATCTCAGAACAATGAAAAATAAAAAGATACTTAGACCGTTAACCACAAAGGAAAAAGCTATTTTAATTCCATCATTGTTACCTGGTTTTACAGTGAAAGGTGCAATAAAACTACCCTGGAGTTTCAAACTCTGGAAAATTCATGCTTTAATTATACAACAAAGAGAGCACTGGGATATTATTATTCCCAGAATGATTGGCAGGAAGTCAGAGACTAAAAACCTGGAGACCGTTCGGTAGGGGGAGATAGTAGCATTGTTTTTTTGGAGGAAGGCTGGAGGCTGGGTAAAGAAAGAGACAAAGAAAAGGGAGAAATGTGTGAAGTGACTATTAATAGAGGAGGAATTGTGAGGAGAAATTCAGAACATGAAAAGGAAAGGCAGAGATTAGATTATAAAAACGCTACACCATGCAGAACATGTCTAACTGACTGTTCAGTTATGCTCTTAGCACAGGTTCTCCAAAAGATGGGCTAGATATTTCATAGACGTTTTGTGATATCTGGCCACTCCTCCAGGAGAAGCGAAGCCAGAGGTCTTTGCACGGCTGAACTGTACTAGAAAAATCCAAGACACCTAGTTAGATATTCATTATCTGTGTGATTATCAAAGAAATGTCCATGGAGGAAAATACCACTGTTTCTTGAAAGGAGTTCATCCTTCCGAGTATTGCATTATTGTTCTTGTGTTTCCTTCAGACTCGCTGTGACTTAAGAGAAGTTTCCCCCTTTTAGTTAGTCTAATGTGTAAATAAAAGCTAATCATATGGCATGAGATAAAAATTTAATTTTATCGCTATATTTATGGGTTTATATTCGATATACAGTTTTTCCTATTATCATGTTCTTGGATTAAGATGCTTGCATTTACTCACATTCTATTTACTCAAAGTGTTGTTTTTACTAAGTTCTGGCATAAACTATCTCAGGACAGCAGTAATTTATGTGAAGCTAAGTCCAATGTTTATGCAAGCTTCTGATGACATTTTATACCGGGGTTGGTATTAGGAAGCAGTATGTGGAGGTGCCAAGTCTCCCGGCATGGCTGAGACTCAACAGATCTGAAGCCCTCCTCTTAATGGCCAGATATGCCTCCAGCCAAGATACTCAACTGCAGAGTCATGGGAAATACTTATGTACCAATTATGGGAAAGGCACATTTAATGAAAACTGTATGTTTACTTTCATAGTCTTAGTAAGATGGCCTAGATACTCAGTACAGCTGGCATATTGGCTGTGGTAGAAAAGCTTTTTTTTTTTTTTTTCTATTTAGAAAATATATCATCTACATACTGTAACTGTACCAAAAAATGTTACTCGCATGCTTCGTTTAAAAGAAAGGATGATTAGGAAAAAAGACCTTAGCAGACTAACCCTAAATGTTGCTCACAAAACATTCATACTTTGCTGAACGGTTGTGCTCTTATTTATCAGCTCGCGGGTTTGATTGTTGCTTACCTATTGATTTTTGTATTTGGTTTTCTGATTTTTAAAACATGTGCGCAGAGAGAAAGTCTATCAGTGATCTGAATAAACCATATTAATTAGTACATTTTCCTGTGTAGATGAGGTTACGTACAATAGCCAACTGTAGTAATATTCTCCCACAGATTAAAAATGTAGAGGGTGTCATTAACTGTTGGCAAGGTTTCCTGTTCAGTTACATTATTTTAGATTTAGTATCTGCACTGAAATCAAAGGAATTATTTCGAAAGTATTTTGCTGTAACTTAGATCGGAGTTTGGTCATTTATCCCCCAGGCTACTGGTTGTTTGTTCCCTATTTCAGGACAGAGATATTTTATAAGGTTTGGTCTAAAAATTTTCACACCATAATGCATATTTATCTATATGACAAGGATTCACTTGTTCAAGAGTGAATTTATCTGTTGGGTTTTGGTTTTTTTTTTTTCAGCTTCTTTTGCTATTTGTAGTTATCAACATAATACTGGGAATCAGAGGGTCTTTCTACATGCTCTCAGCCATCTTGCAGAGCTGGTAGTGGAGTTTAATAGAGTCAATAAAAATGTTCCTGTTCTTGTAAACTTGCAAGGCGATTGTCACATTTATTTTTTTTTTTTTTAAGCAAGCTCAGTTTTTTTCTTCATTCTTGTATTTTTTTACTCATTCATAAATTTTTGATGGATGTCTTCTCCCAAGTATTTAGCTATACTACCTGTGCCACTGAAGCCGATAGCATATAGAGGATATACAGTCAATATAGCAAAGAGCGCTGCACCCTTGGTATCAATATCCTAAATGGAAAAAAAAAAAATCCCATGTATATGCTGAGAACTGGTGCGGATAAGAGAATAATTCTGAACCATGCAATGATCAGATTGAAGAAGTACAGTGGCTACTCAAACTTTACTAAAATTTCTTAACTTTTAACTTTCTCAGGGACTTGGAGGGAAATTATTTCATGAAACAGTGTATTCCTTGTTTTTTCCATGTAGTCTTTTACTTTGCCATCCATACCTACCTTGGATGTACCTCAGACTTTTCTGTGGCTATCTGTTGAGCTGAATTTTTCAGTCTGTATTCCACCCTTTTTCTAGTCCCCAGAAAGTCTCCTGATAGGTAGCCCCAACCCTGAGCTGAGCGCTGCTTCAAGGGAAGCCTGGGACAATCCTCCCAGCGTACTATAACTTACATGCTGTGCACTCCTGCCAAGGGTGGGGCCCATTGCATGACTTTTGGTGTTTCCAGGCCAGATATTATTTCCAGTCATTTTGAGTCACCTATTTATTTTGTTATCCATGACCCTTTAAAAGTCCTGGCCGTTTTTTTGCATTTTTTTTTTTAAACTTGTGAAAGGCATGAATAGAACACATTAAAAAAAAAACAAAACAAAACAAAACAAAACCCACAACAAAACAATAACAAAACAAACCCCAAACCAGTCTGCATTGTACCTAAACAGAATGCCATCCAGTACTTCTCATAGTAACATTTTATCATGTGAAAACAGTCTGATACTGAACCCTTTTCCAGGGATGATCATTTGTCCGTGTGTCTAATGAGAGAGTAAATGAACACCCCGAGCAGTCAGTATCTTAAACCTATCAAGGGTATCTAGTGTAGTTTAGGTTTTGTAAAGAAATACAGTACTAATGCTCCAGGGAAATATAATTTAACTTTCATCTCTCTTTTGAAACATCCTTCATTTTCTCCCTCCGTTCCCAAATCCAAGTTAGTGTTCTCAAATCAGCCTAAATGACTTGAAAAATGACACTGCAGGCAGCAAAGCTGATGATTACAGGTACCGTATCCACTCTAAACTGGACATTGCAGACATTGTTTTCTGTTGCTTTTCTTGGAGCACAGGATGCTCTGACAGGAATGATACACAAAATTACATATTTGATTCAATGCCTAAAAGCCACCCTGGGATCCATAACCTTGCCTAAAGATTTAAGAAAGACCTTTAGTCCACTTCTGAGAAGGTTCTTAGCTTAGAAAACTTTATCTTTCAACTTTACTTCTTAGCAGCTGTTATGTTTTTTTGCTGTCGTTTGTTTGACAGGATCCAGTTATAGGTTCCGATGTCTGTTTAAAGAAACAGGGAGGTTGTTGGCTTTAAAATTCCCTTACTGCTTGTGTGTTCAACATTTTCCCAGGCTTTTCTACATAGTTTGCCAAGTAAAGGGACTGACCTTTTGTAGCAAACACTTTTTCATTTCTAAATGCTCACTTTGATTTTTGTCCCATTTTATGCTCATTCCAAACTGTTTACAACCCACTAAAAATGACTGTGAATTATATGTTTGTGTAATGGATTCCTTTTGTGGTTGGAGTGGAATGTTTACTTTGAACAATTAGTTATCTTTGGGCAGATTATAGTGACCTGAAAAAAGAATGGCTAAAATTATTATAGTACCTTAACTATTTCCTTTTGTTATCTTCTCTGTTTGTCCAGCGTATTATTTACTGGGTTTCATTGCTCTGAGCCCCAGTGAACAAATCATGTTAAATAAGAGCAGTGACAACAACAAAAACAAAAAAAAAAAAAAAAAAAAAAAAAAAAAAACATAGTGCTCTTGTTCTGGGGGCTGATCTGGACCGGGTATGCTAGTGAGACTTCAGAAATGACCATTAGGCACTTACAGGCTGGGTGTGCAATTTTAAGAAGATACGGTTTTGAAAGAAGTTTTAAGTGCTTGCTCTCTGAAAATCAAATTTCTCAAAGGCATCCAAAGCACCTGAAATCAAGACTCAGTTTGGCTTTAATGTCCATAGCTACG